AATCTGACCCACACAGCCCATTAAAACGTTGACAGCAAAGAGCTCAAGAAGAAAGAAATGTTTTGAAACTGATGGCGGCAGCAATTGTACAAGTATGCTTGATCTAGTTGAATTATGGACTGTTATAATATCTGTAACAGCTCCCCAAAAAACGATTTTAAAAAGAAAAGTAAGTGTGTAAGTGCAAAGGTGTTACTTTGAGGACAAAGGTAGGTCTGACTGAATCCATCATATTTTTTCAATGACTTCATATGCATATGTAAGCTGGATAATAAATAAGAAAGATCAAAGAAGGACTTGTGTATTTGAATCATAGTGTTGGTAACAAATATTAAAAGTACCACGGGCTGCTAGAAAAGCAAACAAATCTGTTTTGAAGGAAATACAGCCAGAATGTTCCTTTTAAGTGAGGATAGAGACACTTCATCTCATCTACTTTGGACACGTTATCAAGAGAGAGCAGTCCCTGGAGACGAACATCATGCTTGGGAAGTAGAAGGTCAGCAAAAGAGAGACAGCTCTTCGACGAAATGCATTGACATCGTAGCTCCACCAACAGGCTCAAGCATAACCACGATTGTGAAAGTGGTAGAGGACTTGTTAGTCTTTTGTTCTACTGCACATGGGTCACTATGAGTTAGAAACAATGCATCAGTACCCCAAACCAACAGCAACCTGTACCTGATGCTTACTTATGTTTCTGAGGAAGAACCTATATGTGTGTATTAAGAAACATCAAATCCCCTTGCCAGCAAGCGAATTCTGATGCATGACAACTTCATGTGTGTCAGAGTAGAATTAGGCTTTACAAGGTTTCTTCAGTGGTTGGTTGGGGGAAGTAGATTGTCAGGCTTCTTCGGAGGCACCTCTGGGTGGACTCAACCCTGCAGCCTTTCAGTTGGCAACGAGTGTATGAACTGTGGTTGTAACCACAGAAACTTGAGCTCAGGAATAGAGGGACCATCATTCCTGGCTACATTATAACTTCAAGGAAGAGCCTTACAAGATGCAGTTCATAAAGATGATGCCCTTTTTGCTCTCTGACCCATCACATTAGAGACTTACATAGTAACAGCATACCCCCAAATTTATAGGGTTTTAAGTATTTTGTCTGTTTATTTGTGATACACTCTCCCTATCCTCACACTGATTTTTAACCCCAGCCTCTCTAAGGCAGAAGCCAGCCTGGTAAGCGAATGCTTAGGAAATGCCATAGATCTCATACAAAGGAGCTTCATAAGACTCATGGGAAAATTCCATTTTCTTTCAATTCTGTCTTTCCATGAACTTTTTGAAGTCCCCTCAGAAAACTATCAAGAGCCCCATGGCAGCAGGATGCATGCTGTTTCAGGCCTAGTTCTTTAGACTAGTCATCCGTCAGAGAATGTGTAGGCTTGTTCTACCTATTCTTCCACTATTAATTTTTCTCAAGCACTTCAATTCATGCCCCCTTTTCTGTCTCTATAACAACCATCTCAAATAATAAGAGTCAATTTCCATCTACAACACCACAAATTACATTCAATAGTGGAGCTCCAGATGTGCCTAAGAAAGCCCTCATACATCCAAATCCTATTCTATTCAATAAGGAAGGAAACAGACATACAGGACTTTCTCCAACCTGTGGGACTACAGTAAGACAAGAACTACAGTAAGTATACCCTAAACATGTGGAACCACCGTCAGTAAAGAAGGGACGATGCTCTCTTAGGGTCCTCTCTTTTCATATTCGAGAAGGCTAGCATTCATCATAAATATTCCATATAGCACTCCAGAAAAAAGAATGGAGACAGCTTCTATCTCAGAGATCATAGGGTGGAGTAAAATAACTACTCAGAGCATATATACTGCCTTGACTGAAGAACCTGAATGGTATTTGAAAACAAGCAGCCCTGGGGTTGTGAATCAACTTATAGACAACTTGCACTTATCCTGTAATGTTATGTAAAATGGCCCTCATTGTGGTTTATTTTGAGATTATATTACTTTCATATTAATATTTCAACATATAATTCACATGTCATACAAGTCAATGGTTTAATCATCACCACAATCAATTTTAGAACATTTTCTTCATTCTTGTACTCATTATCACTAGCTCCCCATTTCCCTCCAAACTCTGCTACCCTAACCCTACGAAACTATTAATGTAGTTACTGTGTCTTTATAGATGAACTCTCCTATTTTACATAAAGAAAGTCCCTATCCCACAAAAACACCTCATCAACAACACAGAAATTTTCAATCTAAAAGAACAAAGAAAATAATAAAACAGGAACAAATATAAAATGATCCAAAGGGGAGACAAACAATAGGGTATTAAATTTGAACCTAACTATTATCTACATAAATCCACTTTCCAATACACGCTATCTGATAGCAAGACTATTCACATCCCTGGTCAATGATCAGAGATGATGATTCACCAGCAGCTTAATTCCCATGGGGATTCTGAAAATGGATTCGGGGCTTTCAGTGTCATTCATAGCTTACTGCAAACTGGGTGCTCAGAATTTAAACTTTAATACAATTCCCTCCTCTGGTCTTGGATTTTATTATTTACAATCTTTGGATCACACAGGCTGCTGTGCTTCTTCCAGGTGGACTTATCTGAAGTCTCACTTCGACGGCTGCCTGTTTTAAGAAAAGCTTTTAAAACCCCAGATTCTATTCATTCTGATAGCCAGGTACCAGTTCTTCACCACACGTTGCTATATCACCCATATCTTCATAACCGATACTTAACCTTAAGTATCAAGCAAGAATTTGTCCTCATTTTGAAGTGATTACAGATCCCTGGTAGCATAATGGATTCAGCATTGGCAGAGATTGAAACCCACTGGTTGCTCTGATGGAAAGATGATGCTATCTGCTGCCACTGAGCTTTTAAAGTCCCAGAAACCCTAGGGAGCAGTTCTACAATGCCTTAGAAGGTGACGATGAGTTGGAATGGACTCAATGGCAGTGGATTCTGTTTTGAGGTTTTGAAATGATTGAACAAATTCTTACCCCTCACAAACGAGTCATCACAATTGCCTTCACTTGATACAACTTTCAGATAATTGAAGTCTTCAAATCTTTTTTGCACTGAATTAAGGCTAAGTAAGAACATACATACCTGTTCCATTCATTTACAAATTTCCCTTAAAGATGCACACTTAGGAATGAATCTTGTTCATAACTCAGATACTGCCTGTACTCACCATTTAAATGTATGACTTTCTTATTCTTTTATCAGAATGTGGGTCAGGATACATCTCCACCACATCAATTGGCAAAATACAAGTAATAAAGACAATGTTCAACATCCCTGTTTGCTGAATAGGATATGGGGTCTTAAGAACTTGTGAGCAGCCCTCAAAGCAACTTTTTGTCTCTACCCTTTTGGAACATAAGTCTAATTGCCCACGTGAACTACAGCTTACCTGAGACCCGACAAAGTGGCTGGCTGTCACTACCTAGGGACATAATAGAAGGTCTTGGATAGAGTGTAAAAAAAGGAAAGATCACACTTACTAGACTGATAAGAGACAAAAAGAACCCCGTGTCAGTATGGGGACTTTAGAGAAACTCATGTATAAGAGAGAGTTTTATATAAAGGGTAAGTGCGCATCAAGAAAACATCCCAATCCAGTGCTGCCCAAGCCCACAAGTACAACATTAACCCATTAATCCATATTTCCGACACCAATCCACAAAGTCCTTCCCCATCTCACAAAGCAGACACAACAATGCCGACTGCAGGAGGAAAGCCGAGTCAGTGAATGTGTAAACATCTCAGCACTGGCAGGGGTCTCCACACAGCTGTTCCATCACCCAGGGCTGCATCGGGGTAGGTCCATGTGCCTTCTCCTTGCAGGAAGTGAGCCTTGCCAGCTGAAGCAGGGAACAGGCTAAGGCAGTTGCACCCTGGTCCGACCATCACAAAGCAAGAGACTCAAGAACTTGAAAGGTGAGGCTTGCTGAGCCAATAATCTCTCCGCCCTTCAATTAATCCCACATGCGTTTATCGGCCAGGTTGGCACAATAAACTAACTACGTCAAGCCCCAAGACTGTTGTCCTGAGAAAGCCTTCTAACCTGCAAGCAAACAGTTCCTTCCAGCCAAATAAAAGTTGCATGATAAAACCAGCACCAGCACCCAGGAAGAACGCACTGCCAGAACAAGCAACAATATAAAACCCAAAGGGCAACATCTGCCCCAAACCAAAAGAGAAGACGGTGGGGGGAGCAGGGGGCAGTGCAACTGGAAGTATGGAAATAGAACACCCAGGGGGGAAATATAGCAAGGCGCGCTGACACCTCGATTGCAACCAAGGCCACAGTCCAACTTGTATGTGAATTATGGAGTGGGGAAACAATTTTGCTATGTAAATTTTCACTTAGAGCATAACACAATGTTTTCCCAGAGTCCTGGTTTTGGACTCGGAAAAGGAATGGCCTTTGGGCATGTAAGTTTCCCGTGAAAATGGACACAGAACCTGGGAAATGGATACACTTTGAAACGATGAGCGTGAGTGAGGTGTGTCGTGCTACACCACACAAAAGGGCAAGAACTACATGTCCTCAACATGAAATAGACTAGGAAAATGTACAGACTTGTCTTTTGTGCTCAATCAGAAGCACAGAAGGCTTGGGATCGTATCTTAACCCAGTGCTTACACACAGAAATAAGGTGTACAGCTGTTTACTGAGTGAATGAAGTCATGCAAGTGTAACTTTTGCAGAGGGAGTTCATTAGCGGTTTCCAGGGATGGAGTTGGGAGCAGGGAGGAAATAGGGACCCACTGCTTAGGGGTACCGAGCTTCTTCTGTTAAAGGTGATGGGAGCATCACGGTGGAGCAACATGATGAGGGTGCTTAATATCACTGAACTGCACAAGAGCAGCCCGTTGACATGGAAAATGTTTTCCTGTAATAGTAAAACCATATGATTTTTCCACTCATATGACACCTTAAGTGTGAAGAGTTCAAAGTTACTTGCACCCTAATATTTCTTACCCAGGTGCTCTCCTTGGCCAGGACTGGAAGTTTCTGTTTAAAAAAAAAAAATTGGGAAAAGAAAACTTTTTACCACTTTCTTGTTACAAATCCCATCTACGTAATTCTAAACTACTGTAGTCAAATAATTTTTCTATGATTAAATATTAATTTAATATAAATGCCAAGTTTTTTGGCATTTGACTAAAGAGTTATTTTTATCTATTCCCCAGCACCCAAAGTTACACTTGTAATGAATTCACTCAATAAAAATCTACACGCCTTCTGTGTATCAGCACTGTGTTAAGACATGATCCGCGGCCGTTAGTGCTTATAACTGAACGTGGTAGTCAGAGAAGAAGATTAACAATCACAGAACAGTATGACGGCTTTGTGAGTGAGAAAGGCCTTCCATTAAACTGAGAGAATCAAGGGCGCCTTCCTACAGTGAGTGGCACTAAGTTGTGTTTGAAGCGATAGGACTCATGCTAAGCAGGGAGGAGACGAAGACTGAAATAGTACTAAGTCCTCATGCACGATGGCTTAGTAAAGATGCATCGGTTCCACTCACCTTAAAACGCACCCTCACCAAACAAGCAAACCTCAAACTCTATCACCTATATTTCCTTGTGAGGTGCTGTATTAGGTGCCACTACTCATAGCGACCTTCTGTGCACAGAACAAGTCCTGTGCCACCTCACAATGGTTCTGGTGTTTGCGCCTATTGCCATAGCCACTGTGTCACTCCATCTTGCCAGAGAGCCTTCCTCTTTTTCAGTGCCCTGCTACTTCACCAAACATGATGTCCTTCTCCAGGGACTGGCCTCTCCTGACAATATGTCCACAGTACCCCAGACCAAAATATATGAAGACAAAGAAGATGGGGGGGGGAAAAGGTAAATGACTTAGAGGCAAAAAGGTCAGCCTGAAGATTCTTGGGGAGCCTGTGGCATGCTACCTTGAATATGCCTGATCTCATCTGAGAACTTGGGGAGGGGAGACAGGACCATCAGAAGATGACTTTTTCCAAAGGGCAATGTGAAGGGCCCACAAATAAAGGCACCGGCCACGGGAGACAACAGAGGGACGGTTTGGGTGGTTTTGTTTAGTGAGGCAGCATTGAATCCATTCTGACCCTTAAAGACTGGTTGTGCCTCAGAGTAATGGCGCTCCACAGGGTTTGCAGTGGCTGTTTATGTCTGGAAATCATCACCGGCCTTTCTGCCAAGGCACTTCTGGGTGGACTCCAGCCTCCAGCCCTTGATTCGGAGTCAAGTGTTAACCAAGTGCCCACCCAGCAATGGCCCAGATAGAGGATGAAAAGAAAAGAATTGTTAGGTTAAAATTGTCAATGGAAGAGATTATCACTATACCTACCCCCAATACCATGAAACTCTCTGGATAATCTAAACAGAACAGGGGCCCTGGCAGCAGTGTGAAGTGCCAGGGAGAGAATGAAAGGCTCTGCATCCTGATTCCTCTAAGACCTACTTTGAAATGCTCTTCTGCTCCCTACGCTGTTTCCTGGGGGTCTCTCTACAGAGACAAGAACAGGTTGCTATGTTTACAAAGTAATAAAGAAAAGAGAAGATCTCGTAGACATTAAACATATCATTCTCTCCCAACCAAAACAACAACAACACATGAACAAGATGCAATTTAGAAGAGAGTCAAACATATTCCTAAAAAGGGTTTTGTAAAAGTAATCAAAGCTAAATTGAACACAAACCAGTTGCTACCATGTTGACTCAGACTACTGCCACCTCCTGCAGCTCAGAAGACCACTGATCCACAGGGCTGGTAAAGGCTCAGGCCCAGGAGTCGAACTCTAGGCCTTTCTTTTTAAGTTCCTCTGAGTGGACTTGAACCTGCAACATTTCAGTTAGCAGTCAAGTGTGTTAGCAATTTGGGCTACTCAGGAATTCCAAAGATAAATTAGAGAAGAAAAAAAAAAGAGAGAGAACTTACACAATAAACCCAGCTACAAGGTCAAGGATCTGGTTAATAGGAATTCCATTAAGAGAAAATAAAGTGTAATAAATCAAACAAAAAATAGCACCATAAAATATTCTAGAAGTACATTTGAGTTTCCCAATTGAAAATGAATAAAAAGGATCCTTGCATTAAGGCACATCATTACTATAAACTTTTATTTTACTATAAAATAAGGTATGAAGACATTTCCATGTAGGAAACGAGGAAAGCCCCCTACAAAGACAGAGACTCCTTGTATTTATCAGGAACGAATACACAAAGTCAGAAGAAGAATGCCTTCAAAATTCTGAAGGGAAATAATTATTATTTTTTTACTTCCGATACAATTCAGTGCAACTGCAAGCTAAGTGTGACGGCTCCGTGTAGCACGTCTGTGATGTGTCAGAACCCAGGCATGTTTAAGACCCACATATCTCCTCTGGGAAAGCTAATACATAACATGCTGCAGAAAAACACAGAAATACAATTTTAAAAAATAGAAGACATGAGATCCAGAAAACAGAGGACCCAAGACAAAAAACAATCAAAGCCATTCCCAAGATGACACTGAAGCTGTGGTGCTCGTCCTTGGCTGCACATTAGAATTTCCTGGGGAGCTTTTTAAAAGCCCTGGTGTCCAGGCCACAGTACATCAGGATCTCTGGGGGAGAGAGCCAGACGTTAGTGTAAAGCTCCCTAGGTGACTCCAGCAGGACAAACATGAGACTTTCCATTCCCGTAAAGAGTGACAGTCTCAGAAACCCGCAGGGGCAGGTCCCCCCTGTCCTGCAGGGTTACTGTGAGTCAGAACGGACTCCTTGGCAGTGAGTGAAGTGATTCCAATGTGCGGACCAAGTTGAGAACCATTGTGTCAGAGCGAAGTCCCAGAACAACAGCTCTATAGCAAGCCCAAGACTACCAATCCAGCCGATGCAGGTTAAAGCAAGATTTAAGAGGAGGAACCTAGGAGGGATATTTCTGCAGAAGAGCAGAGGTGGGGGTGAGAGTGGGGATAGGGAGGAGTAGACTAAGAATCAAAAACTTACCTACCAGGCACAAGAAAGAAACTTGTGTGGCAACTTGCATCATGACATTTTATAGAACAGTCACAAAACAGTCCTTATTATTCAAGAAGGTGAGCTGAGGACAGAAGTAGAGATGGGTGTGAGGCAGTCATGACCCAGGAACCAAGGAGGGTGAGCTGCTTCCACAGTCTGGAAGAGGCAAGGAACATGATGCCCCTCTTGGGGAGTTTCCAAGACTGGGGTGTGTATGGGTGGGGGTGTGGAATAAAACCGCTCTGTTGGCACCTTGATATGAGCCCCTGAAGACTCACTGTGGTCTTCCTAACCCCAGGACTGTAGGACGGATGAGTGTTGTAGTAGGACTTTACCTCTATGGTCATTTGTTCCAGCAACAGTAGGAAACTAACACAGGGGATTTAAAGTATTGGGGTGGGAGTTGAATTGAGAGATGCAAGGGGCAAGCGCCTTTAAGCATCATTTGTTTGACATTGGAAGAGCGGCCATTTTACAAGTGCTTAATATTAAAACTATTAAGCATTGAGGGTGATGGAAATGGGAAGATATGGCTAGAGAGAAGAGTGAGCCATCGCTCAATGCTTAGCGAGCATTACGGTGCAGCTTCTCAGTCTTCAACACTTGTATACGCTATGATGCTGCGCCGCTGGCCAGTCTGCAGACCCTAGGAGGTTGTTGAGAGATGAGACTAGAAAGACAGGGCCAGAGGTCAGAAAGGACTTTGTGCTTAAGCAATAGGATTTCAACTTTGTCCCTGAAGAGGTTCCAGGGAAGTACTAAAGAGGTTGGGGCAGTGGTGTACCGGGATCGTGTATTTATTTAAGTATTCTTCTTGAGGAGAGAGGGAGTCTTTATTTGCGATACCCTGAGTTTCTGCTGAGGATGTTGAAAAAACTTTTGAATGGAGAATGGAGATGGTTGAACAATAGGCTAAACATAACTAATGCCACTGATCTGTCCATGTGAGGAATGATGAAACCCCAAATGTTTTGTGACAGATATTGACCACATTATATATGTATAAGTACATAGAAATGACCCATATATGCAGGAGCTCTGGCGGTGCAGAGCGTGGCTGCTAACAGAAAATTTGATCGTTTGAGCTCAACAGGACTGAAAGGCAGGCTCCGTCCCCAAGGTGCGGTTGTTCCAGGCCGTCCAGTCAGTTCTGGCTCACGGCAGCCCTGTGAAGGCCCAGAAGCATTGCCTACTCGGAAGCCCTGGGCGGCAGCTCCATTCCACTAAAGGGTCACTGTCTTCCAGAATCAATTGGATAGAAATGGAAATCCACATACCCCGTTGTTGTTGCCATTTGTGCTGGGCCTCGTTTAGTCAGTTCCAACCGACAGCCATCTGACTGACAACAGAACAAAATCCTGCTGGGTCATTCTCGCCCTTCGTGATCATAACCATTGCACTGTCAATCTCTTTCACTGATTGTTTTTCTCTTCTTCAATGACCCTCTACTCGACCGATCATGAGGTCCTTCCCCAGGCACTGGTCTTCCTTGACAACACCCCCAAAGGATATGAGACGAATTCTCACCAGCCTTGTTTCCAAGGAGCTCCCCGCTATTTTGCCAGCTGCCTGTGGCATAGCGGACATGCTTCACCAAACCATAGATCAAAGGCATTGCTTTATGCCCCCAATCTTCCATATTCCTTGTTCAGCATTCACATTCGCATGAGGTGATTGAAAACACCCTAAAGGACCCTGGCTAGGAGCAGGCACACATTAGTCTTCCAAGTGTCATCTTTGCTTGTTAACAGTTTAAAGAGCTCTTGGAAGCAGATTGTCCCAATGCAGGATGCAATTTGATTTCTTCACAGCTGCTTCCATGGAGCCAGGCAAAAGGAAATCCTTGCCACTTCCATCTTTTCCCATTTTCCATGGTGCTGCTTCTTGGTCCAGCTGGGGCGTGCTAGGCTTTCTTTACGTGGACCTATAATCCACACTGAAGGCTGGCGTCTTGGAGCTTCTGCAGCAAGACCATCAATTCCTCTCCAACCCCAATAAACCAAGTTGTGTCATCTGCGTATT